TATGTTACGCCGAACCCTCGCCACTCCCGACACCTTCGATCCCGAAAGGCCAGCCGTCAGCACAGGAATAATCAGCTTGAGCCTAGCCTGCAACTCGGCACGCAAGTCTTCGCAAATCGACACGCCGAAAGTCATGGAGGGGATATCCGAGTTCAGGGCCACAACTAGGGAATGCGCCTCCTCCAGCTGGCGGCTCAAGCGCCGAATTGCAGCATCCGCACTCCCCTTTGCTCTCCTCGCGGCGGCGGAACGCGCCGCACGACTCCTCCTAGGATCGCCCGACTGGCAACCCTGCCCGTAGCCTTCAGCATCAACAACGCAACGCTCGCCACCAAACGCTCCGGCCGAGGGAACCATCACCATGCCGGCTTGAACAAAGGGGCTTTCGATCGCTGCTGAGCGGCATGAGCCAAAATGGCTACGGATCTCCTCCCCCTCTTCCTCCTCCTCGTCCGCCTCCTCCTCCTCCTTCCCCTCCTCCATTCCCCCCCTGGTCCTCTTCCTCCTCCTCCTCCTCCTCCTCCCTCCTCCTCCTCCTCCTCCTCCGTAGCCATTTTGGTTCAAGACTATGGCTTGGGGGGCTTCCAGCCCCAAGGCATCCAGGGATACCGCTAATCCGCGGCAGGCAAGGCAGTTCTGCCTGGCATCCCTTCTTCTCAGCCTTCACTGGGGATTTGGGCTCCCTCACTTAGCCCCGCGCGTGCGTTCACACACAGTCATTTTGTCTGTCTGATGTCGAAACATGGCGGTGCTGGAGCCATCAAAGCTGGCAAGGCGAAGGGTGTCACTCCTCGTGGGCAGCGTGCCGCCCGTGCTACGCGTGGTGCTGCTGGTTCTGCTCCTGCCGCTCCTCCTGCTGCCACCGACATGGCCGCTGAGGACAGCGACGGGGAGATCTCCATGGGTGAGTACTCTGAGGAGCACATCCGCGCACTGTGCACCAGCATTGTGTCTGACCAGCTCCAGGCGCCCAAGAAGGATGTCGATGGCGTGGTCGCCCAGTCCGTCTCGGAGGCCATCTCTAGCGAGTCAGAGACCATCGCCAACTCCTTCAAGGCGCACTTTGAGCAGTGCTTCCAGAAGTGCCAGGCTGAGATGGCGTCGCTCCCGAAGCGACTGGACAAGCAGATTCAGGATACTCTCAACCCGCGATTGGAAGAGCTTCGTCGTGAGTTCACGCAGAAGTGCGACACACTCTCGACCATCATCGAGTCCGTGGACACGAAGGTCGAGGCCCACTCGGAAGACATCGTGGCACTTAAGGAGAGTGTCAAGCTGTTGCAGGAGGCTCTGGTCGTGGCCAACCGGAAGCCCAACAAGCCCATCATCTTCTCGTCGTCGTTCGAGCGCGAGGTGGATTACTCGGTCATTAAGGTCAACGCGGGCAAGCTCGGGTCGAAGGCCAAGGTGCAGGAGGTGCTGCAGCCCTGGCTCGTGGACGCTGGCTTCGCGGACGACTGGTGGTCCATTGAAAGTCGTGATGTACTCTCACGGGTGTTCATCATTCGCGTTGCAGGTGGTGAAGGCCTTGCTGCTCGCCGTGTCGCCAAAGCTCTCTCCATGCTCCGCGTGGGCGGGCAGTGGCGCCAGTTCGAAGTGGATGCGCACAGTGGTGATGGAGTCACCAAGTTACATGTCAGCGGGGACAGGAACCCGCGCACTATCAAGCTCGAGATCACGGGACGCAAGGTCAGGTCGCTCTTGGCTTCTGCTGTGGGAGACGCCCACCGCCTCTTCTTCGACCGCGAGAGGGGTTGGCTGTCCGTGGGGTGGGACCCGCTCCTCAAGCTGGAAGTGTTCGAGGGCCGTGCCCCGACGAAGGCGCACTGGAACGCCGCCACGCTCACCAAGCTCGGCCTCGACAAGCGGGTGCTCGCCAGCGCGATCAGCAGCGCTGTCGAACCAGACGCTGAGCCGCAGTGTTGCCTTTAGCAGATTCGCTCGTCTTTTTGCAGTCTGTCCTCTGCCCTCTCTTCAGGATGCCGAGGCGCTGGGAGGTCTTCGCTTTAACTCTTGGAATTGTAGGGCTTTGCTCCAGTATGAAGGTAAGCATGCTTCAGTGAAGTTGGGTTATATGAAGCGTCTGTGTTTCGGCTCTTCGCTTTCTGCAATCCAGGAGGTTCGGCATGATAGAATCCAGCTAACTAGCTTTTTTCCAGGAGGCTCTTCCTGTGGCTCTGATCTTCTCGAGCTTCTGCGGGGAGGACCCCGCTGAGCGCATCCGAGGTGGGGTAGCCACGGTCGTGCCTGGTGTGATCACAAATGGTCAGCCCTCGCCCCCTGACGGTGTCACCGCCACCCCCCTCTCGTATGTTGCTGGCCGGGTTTTGAGAGTTTACTTCTCGGATGGGGATACCACCCTCGTCCATTGGAATGTGCGCAACCATGATTTAACGGTAAACGAAATTCGGGATGTGTGCGGTGCGATTTCCCAGGATCGTGCGTCGTCTGAGGCCTCCCCTGAAAGCTTCGTAGTGGTTGTGCATGGTGAGTTCAACTTTGCCGCCGAGGAAAAACCGAGCTTCTCGCGGCCATCTAAGGCCCAGCGGGTCCCCAGGCCCTTGCACGCCCGTGCCCCTGTCTGGTCTCCCACACTCGATTCCCTAGTTGAGATTACATCTGCGGCTGCGACGCATTACGATGCCAAGGCCGATGCTGTTGCCGCTATTGATCGTTTCTGGTGCTCGTGGCCTGGCTGGGCTCTGACGCAGATGACGATCACGCCTAAAGTGGAAGGAACGCCTGAGGTTCTGTCGAGGCAGAAGATCAGCGACCATGCTGCTCATGTTGTCTTGTTTCGTCAGCGTCGTCCACCCGCCGTTGAGGAGCGTCCCATACCTAAGCATAGATGTGTGTCTGCAGAGTTCAAATCGATTTTGAAGAGTTTCCTGGGGGCTGAAAAATCTCATCTTGAGAATATGAGCTCCGCCCCGAGGCTTGAGAGATGCAAGTATCTTATGTCAGAGGCCAGCCGTGAGGCACGTGATCGTATCATGTTCCGCCGTCCGCATGACCCTCGCACGCTCTTGCTGGCGGCTCGTGCTGTTTCGCGCGCAGTGCGGAGACAAGATGTCCAGGCTGCGGAGCGGCTTCTGGGATCTCATCCTGCTGCGGCTGATTTTCTCGAGGTCCGTGGCTCTCGCGTTGAGCTTGTGCACGCGGCATCCTTCATGCAGTGGTGCAATTTGCAGCGGCTCAACGCCGCGAAGTTGGACCGGGAGCAACTTCGTGCCCGGCTTGAGGTTCAGGATGGAGGAGGTGGTCTGGATGGAGGAGGGGTGTCAGCCTCTCAGACTCGTCGCCGTCTTCAGGCTCTGGAACGTCGTGCTCGTATCTGGGCCCCCTTCGCGCGTCGGCTCGTTCTTCGGGGTGTTCTGGTTGATGGAGTTCCTGTGGGTGGTCCTGGGGCTCAGTGCAAAGCTCTGGGTGATCATTGGGGCAGCGTCTTCGCTCGCAAATCGTGGCCGCGTGCGGCTGCTGAACAATGCGTGGATAAGTTCGTCCAGCCCGTCGGCTTCTCGTCGTGTGCGCCTCCTAGCCTTTATGTGATGAAGAAGGTTCCGGCACTTGCCACGGATTCTGCTCCAGGATGCGACCGTCTCTGCTACGCTGCGTGGGCAGCGAACCCGTGCGGAGTGGAGCTCCTGAACGATGCGATGCTTGACATGTTCTGTGGTGTCGCCCCCTTTGCCAGCGAGAGCAAGACACTGCAGGCCTTTTTACCTAAAGGTGAATGCCATGGTGACACACAAGCTGGGGAATGTGCAAGAGATGTCAACTCTGTCAGGGTCCTGGGCCTCAGGAACACGAGCTATAAGATCATCGCTGCCTCGGTCAACTATGCGATTCGGGAACCTTTGGATGCTTTTGTGCCACCTTCGCAGCGAGGTTTCATGAGAGGCCGCAACTTTGCACTGAACATTGCTGAAGTTGGTGCTGTAGCTCGAGCGTACTCGTGCCGTCCTGAAGCTGATGAATAATGCCCTATCTTATATGCTCTGGATTATGGACATGCGTTTCCAAGTTCATCTCAGCAGTATATTTATCTTGTGTTCCAGCGTATGGGTTGCCCTGCTGCTCTGCTCATGTTCGTGCATATCCTGTGCGCTGCCATTGAGGGGGCCATGTCATGCCGTGGGGCAATGGTTTTTGCTTTCTGGATTCGGTCTGGGATTGTCCAGGGTGACGCTTTGTCTGGATCGCTTTTCGCTGCTGCGCCTACACCTACTCTACATGACTTGTACGTTTCCTTGGAGCAGGGGAAGATGGGGATTAGCAGAGCTTGCGCTGATGACATTGGGGGAGTGCTTAAACGGCTTCAGAGTTTGCGGCCGCTCGCCAGAATCGTGGGTGTCTCGGAGCGGGTAGCGCACCTCGTTATTAAGCCTCCCAAGTGTTTCCTGGTGCCTGTTGCCTCTGCCTCTACGCCTGCGCTGCAAGAGAGAGTTGCACAATGTCATAGGCTTTGCCTACCGCAGTGGACGTCCTTCCAGGTGGCGTCGAAGCTGTTCTACTTGGGCATGTTCGCGGGGCCTGGTGCCACTCTTGAGGGCTCTTGGAAGGGGCCCTGCAAAAAGTACCAGTCTCGGGCTAAAGCGATAGGTCAGGGTGTGCAAGCTACGTCTGTCTCGGGAGTGTTATACCAAACTCGTGCTGTGCCTACGCTGAGCTATGTCGCTCAGTATCTACCTCCGCCCTGCCGTCTGTTCGACTTGGAGATAGGAGCCCTCGCCTCCGCGTTCCGCATCCCGATGGGCACGTTCAGCGCTGTTGCCCGGTATTTCCTGCGT